AGCTGGTAGTCATTTATGTGAAAATTGTCTAACAATATTGTGCACTCACAATACACAAAAATATAATATGCTTTGAAACATTATGTCAGTTCAATAATGTGCAATCCGACGCTCACTAATATGCAATTTGTCTAACACTAGCGGGCATTCTCAATTTTATACAACCTTAATAGTGTGTGTTTCAATCAACACTATTTTGCATTTTTCATATCATTCATATAATAAAAAATATATATTTATTATTATATTTTCTTACTTAGTATTTTTATACCATTGTTTTTTTTTCAGAAACGATAGAAGAACTATTATAAATCAAAAGCGCACAAGGTGCGAATAAAGATACAAGGCTCCCAACGGGAGAATAAAGTGGGAGGACATGTCAGAAGACCGCCAAAAATCCCGCTAGCAACGCTAGAATAAAACTCGAAACTAAATAGAACAACTACACGATCAACTAAACCAACTAAAATAACTAAAAAGACTAAAAAGACCCCAACAGGGTAATATCTGAGTGTCGAATCCCAACAGGATAATAAGATTGACACTCGAGTTCATAGGGGCCAACGGCCCAGACCAAAAACACAATCATAAGAACACAAAAACAGAAACACAAAACAACCAAAACTAAAACAAAATATAAAAGGGATAGAGCCTCCCCCACCAGATACATCTAGATCAACGCTAGACAAACCAACTCCAGAGACAGTCCCAGAGCACAGAAACAACCGCCCGCCACTGCAGAAGGCCTAGCAAGACGATTACCCACACCCCATGACCAACCGAAGAGCTGGCCCGCACTCCAATCACGTAAGGAGACCCCCACGGCTCGGCTTCACCGAGTCAGTCCACTGAACCCGCTACCATTCATCCCAGCCCGGAACGGCGGAACACAATTGAGCAGTCGAGCACACACTAGAAACAGAATCCTGACCCTAGCCGAACCATTGTTTGTTGATAATAAGAAATACACGTATATAGATAAAATTTAAAATAAAAATTATATAGTATGGTCGGTTCTCGCATTTTTTAATTAGTTTATTTTTAATTTTTAAGTAAATTAAAAAAATGAACCAAACTAACAGAATTTTTTAATTTTTTAATATATGTGAAAAAAAATGCGCACTATCATAACAACAATATATTTTTTAAAAAATTATCAAATTTGTGATTGTGCATTTGATATATTATTGATGTGCAGTCTGATATTCACTAGTGTGCATCTTAATTAATATATTGTATATTATGCAGTGCGAGATTCATTTTTACGTTAATGAAATAATTTAGTTATTTGGTTTGTTAAAATTTATTTATTATTTATATTATAAAAATATATTTTATATTTCAATACATTTATATAATAGTTTATAATATTTTTTATTTATAATATATAAATTATATATGTATAAATAATATATACACACTATACCCCGTCGACCAACCTGCAGAGACAGTGACCAAGCAGACAACAATCTATGGATATATGGCGGCGGCGAGAGCAGACATTGCAAACCGTCGCTCGTGAAGGAGCTTCTCTATCTGCTAATTTTCAATCATCAGCGGTGTGTGTGCGCATGTGGACGACGACGACCCTAGAGAGGCGAACGGATGTTGCTGCTCATGTGTGTGTGGAGTGGAGCTTCGAACGGCGGCGTGTGGGTGCGTGTTCAGGCTCTGGCGACCGACGACGTTGGTGAGTGACCAGCAACTTTGTGTGATCGTGCACGTGTGTCCGGCGTTCAGCGGCGGCG